TTTAGAAACTATTTCAACAAGATCAAAAAACTGAGTTTTCAGGGTGACATGGAAATGCATTAATTCTTTTGGCAAACTTCTTCAAGGTGGAGAAGATGGGAACACTTGGCAATATTCTTCCTCTTATGAAATTGGCATCTGTTTGTAGGAATTGTTTCTAGATGTCAAGATGCATTTAATCTTAGGAAGTATGAAACCATTTGTTGAATGAAACCAATATTGAAATGTTTATTCCCAAGAAAAGAAAGGCTCTGCTAGGCCCAGCTCTCCTTAATGTTTATAGATGACAAACTTACTTGCCTTGCTTCCTATTCTCTTCTGGTCTCTGTTTCCTCTGAAGGTAATCTCCCTGTGCTTAAGTTTCCTGTCATGAAGACTTTTCAAAGGACTGTACAAAATCAGCCTCTGTGCCGGCCACTTGTGCTGTGCAGCTGCCTGTTGTTGTCCTTGTTGTTGTTGTTCCTGTTCTTTTTGTTGTTGTCCAGCTGACCACGTAGTGTCCAGAGCTCCCAACACTGGGGCTGCTTTTTGTATCTCCTGGAAGGTGGGCTCTCTGCTTGAAAGTGAGTATCTTGTATTTTGTTTCTCTCAGATAAACTGATGAATATGGAAAATCCCATGATGAAATACATTGAACTGGAAAGTATTTGAAGCGGGTGAGTCCAGCCACAGTTACATCTCCAAAACCATGGGCCAGGTGTTTTGCTGGTGGAATAACTAGCAAGTGTGAAGTTAGACAAGCTTCAAACATATTCAGACACTGGGTTTACACTGTCAGTGATGATCAGAATTTGTAAGTGTGCTCAGAAGGAATTATCAAAGACATCTCTATGCTGCCAATGTCCTGCAGCTTTTAGGTACTTACAGCAGAGATCTTTTGACTGGGCTGGCTTTCACTCCAAGATCTAAACAGCGCCTCCTTTCTTTGCTGCTGTTTTGTTTCTAGGGCTTTTGGAGAGGTTTGTAGAGCACTCACCACTGCCACAGGAGGAGAGGTAAATGTCAACAGTCCCCGAAGACCCTGCTGCTCTCGAGGCCTTTCCCGTCAGGTGTGAGCTGTGCCTATAACTTGGGTAGAGCTGTGCTGAAAAGGCACAAGAAGCAAAGACTGGTGCCAGCCTCCAAATTGCACTTGGAACAGTCTTTGTTCTTCACAGCTGCCAGTAAGAAGGCACGGAGGGCAGTGTTTCCTTTCAGAGAAGGGCGTGCCCACTCACTCTCAATTGCTAAAACAAAGGTGGTATGACGCTGCTCTTGGCCGCACCAGAGCTCCAGGCTAGCTCTACGGTGCCACTCCGGCACGGGCAGTCGCCAGGAGTGGGGAACTGCAGGGGAAAGGTGATCCCACTGCAGAACTTTCAGAGCACCGAATCCTGCTGGTCAGGCGTCGTGGGTGGTGGCAAAAGGAAGAAGGAGACTCACTCAGCTGTACTTCCCAGGAACAGGTTTATTCAGGAGAGGGGATGAACACAAGGATCTGGGCTCAGAGAATTCAAGACCAAAGAAAGGCCCAAGCCCCTCTGTGCGCTGGGTTTTATCTCAGGGGCGGGCACAGTCCAGGGTCCAATGGGAGCTCACAGAGGGAGGGGTAAGGGGAGGAGGTTACAATGTCAGGGACCAATGGGGATACAAAGAAGGTGGGAATACAACATAACGACCAATAGTGTTTTGAGAAAGGGATGATATACATGGAAGGAGCTGGAAGGAGAGGTGGGGTTTAGGCTGATGGATGGGGAGATGGGGCAGGGTAAAGGTGATTGATGGGAACATTCAGGAAAACTGGGAGGGGTTTACATAACAGACAAATGGAACCAACCAAAGCAGTAAATAGGGGAGAACCAGGAACATACCAAACAGATGAAATAATAACAATTTTAACAGAACAGAATAAACATACTACAACAGTGGTATCTTAGGGCATTTCACTGATCTTTGGGGCTACAGCTTCAGACTCCTGAATCTTCATCTCTGGCTGCCACCAAATACATCTGAATGTTACTGGTAGCTCATTAGCCACTTGGGTACTGTACATAGGGAGAGATCTGCAAGGTGTCCCTAAAAGCCCTAAGCCCTGCTCATAGCCAACCATATATCCATAGAGTACCAAGGCATGGATTGCTTCTTTTGAAGTCCAGACAGAGCAGAAGAGAGTATGGTCAGAGCTTTGTGGGTGACAACTGAGACACCATTGTTACCAAGTGGGCAAGGCAAAATTTCAGCAACCATGTGTTCTGTCACTAGCCCCAAGGGAGCAGAGGAATGGGCTGTTGGAATGTCACTTCCTAATTACCACAATGTCTAATCACAAGGCAGTTTGGCACAGCTCAGCTGTGTCATTCCAAAATCACTTGCTCCATGTGAGAAGTTGTGCCATGCCACCAACTTCTAAAGTGACTGATTTTCAATGTTTTAGGTGGCCATAAAGAAAATAAATCTTCAAGGACTGATCAGGAAGGAACTAACCACTTATGAACTCATGGTCATGAAAATTAATAAGAACCCCAAGATGGTGAACTATTTAGAGAGGTGAGTTGTTGTTGTTTTATCCCATCAATGTTTATTTACATACTGCATGCATGCGAAGTTAAAACCCCACTTTGGTCACTGGCAGAAAAAGGAGCTGTTAATTACTGGTTAATTATTATTTCTCACCTTATCTCCAGTGGATGGGAAGAATTAATGCATTTTGCCTGCATTAATCTGTCCTGGAAAATGCAGTTTGAAAACTGTTCAAAAATCTGGACCAACCCTATCTTATTAATTAAATACCCTGTAAATTCATTTCCTCCACATTGTTTTGGGGCTTAATTTTCAAGATGTTATGAGCACCTTTTAAGTGCTGATAAACCATCCTAGAGATGATTTCCCTTGGATTGTGTCCCCTGTTTTCCATTGCTGCACATGCCAGGAAGACTAGGTGCTTATTTCCAGAGATACCATGTATGACATTTTTTTATCTGGACTGTTACTTAACTGCATTTTTCACTTGCTGGCCATCTAAGACATTTCCTTTTTTGTAAATGTGCCATTCTCCTTGAGACTGCACAGATTGCGAACTGTGCAGAGCTGGGAGGGAATGTCTATTCCTTTTATTCTGTCTTTGTCTCAAATGGACCTGGAAACAAGAATCAACTGTTGTCTTTTCCAAACAGCAATGTAGTCATGCATGTTTATCTCCATACCCTTGTTTCTTTCTTTCGGCTACCTTGTGGGTAAGCACCTTTGGCTGGTGATGGAGTACATGTGAAGAGATCTTCCCTTAGCCCCCCCGAAGTAATCCAGGCTAGCTCTGTCGAATGGAGGGGTCAGGGAGATCCTTCACGACCAAGACCAAAAAGTGCTGCTTCTCCCTCCAGGGTAACGGAGGATGTTTATTCTGGCTGGATTCCAGGGGAGAAGAGACCAGGTTTCTCCTTCCCAGACTTTTTCAAACCTCGGGAGAGGGGCAGGGGGACATATAACACCAACCAATGGGATAATGTTTCAGGGACAGGGAGGGGGAGGGGAAAAACACATCACAGCTGCTTAGAAGGTCCACAAAGAAACTAGGTAACTCCCAGAAATATGCACCACCACATCTGCCCCTACTTTGATATATGTAATTAAAAGAAAGGTAGCGAGCTTATAGGACTTACTGACCTGAAACGGCCCACCAATTCCCATTAGCAGGCTGGTGAGGGTTACTCTGGTCTGCCAACTCTATATGGTTGACATCTGAGGTAGCTGAGATTAGCTTAATTATGCTTCTGTACAGTATATTGCTTAGCACTCCGAACACTAACATCGTTAGCAAAACAATGACTAGCAGTGACAGAATGGTTTTCACTACTGAAGCCCACCACCCCAAGAGTCCACAGTTTATAAACATTCCATTGAACCAGTCATCTGCTTCTTGCTTGACTTGTCCGATCATGCTTTTCATCTCTCGGAGCGTGGCATGGATGTTAGGAGCTTTTGATGTCAGATTCATGCGGCAGAGACCCTCGAACTCCTAGCACTCGTTGCCGTGGAGCAACAGGAGAAAGTCTATTGCAGCACGGTTTTGAAGTGTCGCCTGCCTGGTAACTTCCTCATCTTCTAGGAGGGCACTTATGGCATTAGATGTTAAATTTGCTTGTTTTACCACCCAGCATTCTAGGTGTCCCAATTCACCTAGGGCCTTGGCTGCAGCCACCCAAGGAAGGAAAATGGATGCAGCAATTCTTTTTGATTTGGACCAATGGAAAATCTCTGAGTCACAATTTTCATCTAATTTTGTAGCACTTCTCTTTTGAATTTTTTTGGTCAAATTGTTTTTATGGGTCCACTCGCCAATTAATATTTGATTGGGTGCTAACAGTGATAGACGCCCTATGGTACACGGCCCTCCGAGAAGATGGGATGGAATTCCTGCCCATGCACGGTCCCCACAAATGAGGAACAGTCCTTTGGGGAGGCTTTTGGGATGTGTAGGAGCTGAGGAGTGCACTTTGATGTAGTTTAGTACACGGCACCACCTTTTTGCTGTGAACTCTTCTCAATGTTGTACTATATGGTGGAATGTTTCTTTATGAGTTGGAGGACTGACCCTAAAGTGTACACAGTATGATGCTGGGGAGGAACCCAGCAGCTCTAACTCCTGGGGTTCCTGGGTTGCCTTAGGAAAATGGGGTAGCCACTCTTCTACTGGGTTTCCTAACTCTGCTTCTACATGAGTGCTGTGTAGTTTATTACCTGCTTCAGGAGTCAGTGTACTAAAGCTGTGTGTGAATTCATCATGCTGCAAAGGAATTCCTACCAGGCAGGTAGACATAGGATTTTTTGCTGCTGCAGTAGATAGACATATGTTTTCCTGTTGGAGTGTTTGTGCCAGGGTCACCCAGATGTTCTGGCGTGGCTGTGGGACGATCCAGGCTGCTGTCAGGCTGCTCAGTGCGAGCAGGATGACAGCAGGGTTAAGGCTCATCATGGATTTGAGTAAGAGATAGGTTATTACTAAAAAAAAAGGAAACAGACATTCTTTAAAACATATTCACAGTTACAGTATGCAGGTCAGAGGCTAGAGAGATTTCTTCTTGCTCTCTTCGGCGGCGTCTTCTCTTGGAAGCAACAGCCACTTGCTTCTCTTTTCTTCTTGCTGGTGCTGGATTCTTTGGAACAAAAGGTTTTACCCATTTCTGAGGAATCCATTGGGAGCCTGAAGGGGTGGATACACATGCGTAGCCACACCCCCAGGTGACAAGTTCATAGGGACCCTTGGTTTGCCAAGTTTCAGGGTCCCTGATTAAAACTGGTGGATGCTGTGACAATTTAAACTGATCACCACTGTTAAAATGCCGAGTTACAGGAGGATTCATGTTTTCAAATGAGCAGTTTAGGAAGTTAATGGTAAACAGAGCTTTACAGAGTTTCTGTTGTGGAGACATCCACACTGCCTCGCTACCTTGCCTGGCTAGGACTTGTTTGAGCGTCTGGTGTGTACGCTCGATTACAGCCTGACCTGTGGGGGAGTGGGGGATGCCAGTTTTATGTTCCACTCCCCACTGCTGGACAAATTCCAGGAACTCCTTGGATTGATACGCTGGGCCATTATCTGTTTTAATTTCTTTAGGGATTCCCAATACGGAAAAGGCCTGCACTAAGTGTTGTTTAGCATGCACAGACTTTTCTCCTGCATGAGCAGAGGCATACACCGCTCCTGAGCATGTATCAATGCTCACATGTACATACTTGAGGCGACCAAAACTGGGAATGTGAGTGATATCTGTTTGCCACACCTCACAGCTTCCAAGGCCTCGGGGATTAACCCCGATGCCTAATGATGGCACTGCCTGGAGCTGACAATTGGGACAGGTAGCCACAATGGCTTTAGCCTGACCCCGTGTCAGCTGGAACTGACGAATCAGTCCTGGCACATTTTGATGGTATTGCTGGTGACTTATCTTTGCCTGTTGAAACACATCTGGGAGACATACCTTTTCAGCTGGGGCAGCAAGGGAATCAGCCTTCCGGTTCCCCTCAGCGATTTCACCTGGCAACGGGGTGTGCGATCTTATGTGCATCACATAGAAAGGTTGTTCTCGATTTGAAACCAAATCAATCAGTTTTGAAAGCAATCTAAAGAGATGCTCGTTCTCAATGTCCTTGAGAACTGCCTGTTCCGCTCTGGACACCACTCCTGCTACGTAGGCTGAGTCAGTAACTAAATTAATTGGTTCTGAAAATTTCTCAAAGGCTCTCACGACCGCAGCCAGTTCAGCTATCTGGGGTGACCCCTCTACAAACTCAACATCAGCTTCCCAAAGCTGAGTCTGTGGATTTCTCCAAGTCATCACCGACTTGTGGGATGTCCCAGATGCATCAGTGAACACTGTGAGCGCTTTGAGTGGCCTTTGGCTCCTTTTCTCATGAGGAATGAGATGGAATTCCTCATGAAACAATTTGTGTGATGGTGCATGAACTGAAATTTGCCCACTAGAGCTGTCCAGAGCTAACTGGAGGTTAGCATTGCTCTGCAGCAGATGCTCAAACATCTCTTTGGTCAGTCTCTCAGGGGAGTTTTTGCCTTCTCCAGAGAGCCTGACTGGGAGGTGAATACACATAAAGTCACAACCTGCCAGTTCCCGCAGCCTTACCCTGGCCTTTTGAATCAGCTGAGCCATCAGCTCTTGTGGCTTGGTGATAGTTTTGGGTCTTTGATGGGAGAGGAAGACCCACTCTATGATTAAGAGTGCATCTCTCTGCCCCTCGGCCCATTGGAATATTAACCCATGCAGGTGTGGCAATTTCCCCAGGACAATAAATTTGAAAGGCAGCTCAGGTTTGAAGCGGTGTGCCTGTCTTTCTGTCAAGGCCTTTTGTGCCTTTTCAATGACAGTTTTTGCTTCTGGAGTCAGCTCCCTGGGAGACAGTAATTCTCTCTCCCCTTTCAATAAATTGAGTAGGGGGCTCAGGTCCTCATTTGTGAGACCTAGCCATGGTCTGACCCAGTTTAGTGACCCGCATAGGGAATGGAGATCTGCTAGAGTTTTAGGATTACCAATAATTTCCAATTTTTGTGGAACAACAGTCCGTGCAGTAATTTCCAGGCCCAGGTATTTCCAAGGTGGCATCCTTTGAACTTTGTCTTCCTGCAATTGGAATCCAGCAGAGGTTAAAACTTTAACCACTAGGTCAAGGGTGTCTTTCAGTATGTTGTTATTGGGACAGCATATTAAAATATCGTCCATATAATGCAAAATGATAGCCTCTCTCTTTTCAGCACGCACTGAGGACAGCAAAGACCCCACATACCACTGGCAGATGAAGGGGCTGGCTTTCATCCCCTGAGGTAATACTGTCCAGTGGTACCGTTTCATTGGAGCTTCCCTGTTAATTGTAGGAATGGAAAAGGCAAACCTTGGTGCATCAGCTGGATGCAGGGGAATTTGAAAAAAGCAATCTTTAATATCTACTACTGCTAGTAGCCAATCTTGTGGTAGCATGGTTGGAGATGGCATTCCTGGTTGGAGAGATCCCATGTCTTGTATTTTTTTGTTTATTTCTCTTAAATCTTGAAGGAGACGCCATTTATCTTTCCCTGGCTTTTTTATTAGAAACACCGGGGAACTCCAAGGGCTGGTTGTTTCTACTATGTGTCCTTTAGCCAATTCTTCTTCCACTAATTTTTCTAGCGCCCCAAGTTTTTGTTTGCTGAGAGGCCACTGGTTCACCCAAATTGGATCATTATCTAGCCAAGATAATTTTTGGACTGGACGCTCTACAGTGGCCTCCATCAAAAATCCTGAGGTGTCTCAGGAATAGTTAGTTTTACCCCCCACTGCGACATGGTATCTCTCCCCCACAAGGGGCACTTGTAGTCAATTACAAAAGGTCGGACACTAGCTATCCTACCGTCCGGACCTTCGATCTGGACGATATCTTTAGCAATTTTTGCCAGTTTCATCCCTCCAACACCCTGTATTTTTCCTGCCACTGGTTGTAGGTCCCAATGTGAGGGCCACACCTTTTCCAGTATGATGGTCACATCTGCCCCAGTGTCAATTAACCCTTCTACATGGAGATGTTCTGATTTATGTGTTAAATTACATCCCATAATGGGCTTGTCTTCACCCACTACTTCTGCCCAGTAGACTCCCGGTGCTTTGTCATCTTCTGGGACTTCTGTTGGAACAGGGATTACCTGGGCTATTACCTGCCCTTTATCTATATAGAAAGGTGGTTGGGGGCACCTAGATAAGAGAGTGAGGTGTGTTAGGTCTCCCGTGATTGTCATGGGAGCCACCTCAATCTCTATTGGTGTGTGTGCTGTGTCTCCAATAACAAAATACCTACTATCCAGTCCAGCCAGGTCTCGTGAATTATCCTGCAAATCTACTCCCACGACAGTCCAGCGGTCAGATCTGAAACAAAAAGCTTTAGAAGTTACAAGTCTGAATCGCTTTTGCGGTTGCCAGACCTTATTAGGCAAACGTTTTTCACAATTATATTTTTGCAGTTTTTCACCCCCCTCCCTCCTTTTTATTAAAGGATAAAGATTCGTTTCCACTTCATTTATGTCTGCGCGCTGAGTGGATAAGCGCTGAGGCTTAAGTTTTTTGGCAAGCTGGTATCTGAGTGTTTCTGTTGTTTTAAAGGACAGTTTTTAGCAAAATGTCCGGGTTTTCTGCAATGAAAACAAATTCGCTGTTGCTGGTCCGACATCATCTGTTCACTCCTTGTCTCAGACAAAACTGCAGCAACAGGTCTTGGGGTGGTCCAGGGAGGTCTCTTTTCCTGTGAAAACATCTCTGCTTTCCTTTCACAGGCTGCTGACATCTGTGTGAGGGTAGGAGGTGGGTCCATTGGCAAACCTAGAATGACTCTATGGCAAGATTCATTAGCATTTCTCTGAGCAAGTTCCTTGACTAACTCTCTCTGTACCACAGGGTCTTCTACCGGACGGGAGACTTGTTCTCTTAATCGGTCTAAGAATTGCAGGAATCCTTCTGAAGGCATTTGTTTTACATTAATATAACTGCCCTTAGTGTCAGCTGTTGGTAGCTGGGTGAAAGCTTTTTCTGCAGCTGCAGTGATTTTATCTATCACAGCTTTTGGCAATGCCCTAGTTTGGTCCTCAGGTTTTTCCCATACTCCTTCACCACATAAATGCTCCAAAGTAATAGGATTATTTAATAAATCTACATTTTGGTGATTAGTTTTTAATAATTCCACCAGTATGTTTTTTAGAAATCGTTTCCATGTGTTTTCCCATAACTCAAATTCAGATGGTGTAAGCAAACACCTAAAAAGATCTTTAATATCTGTAGGAACTAAATCATTTGAGGTTAATGTTGTTTTAACAATACTTTTAAATATTTCACTATTACGACCAAATTCTCTTTGTACTTTGCAAATTTCCTTTTTGTCTTGGTATGAAAATGGCTTGTAAGTACGATTCTGTGGTCTTGTTCCAGTAAAAGTTACTGGAGCAGCAGTAGGGAAAAAAGCTGAGTCACAATCATTTTGTTCTCCATTCCCAGGAGTTGCATTGAACCGGCAGGGGGGAGAGGCTTGTCCTGCCTGGGTATCAGGAAGGCTCGCATTCCCCCATCCTCCAGGGGCACCACGTGGCTCTGCAGGGGTAGCAAGCGGAGGGGATCCGCCCTCCCATCCCCCGGGGCGTCCCCCGGGGCCATCAGGGCAGTTTGCAGCAGCACAACCACACCTGCCTTTGGAATGTGGTGAGGCAACCTCACCTCCCTGCTTGGTCCCGGGCCCGCCCCCCGGACCGTGGGAACTGGGAGGGGCTCCGCCCCTCACCCCCTGCTCGGCCCAGCCCCCAGCCCCGCCCCTGGCTCCTGCCCCATTTCCAGCCCCCGCCCCAACTCCCGCCTCATCTCCGCCCCCAGCCCCGCCCCCACCCACGCTGGGCTCCGGGGTGCCCGTTCCTTCCCCACACCTGTGGAGAGACACAGCTCCTCCCCCCTAGGAGCCGGGGGGGGGGGGG